CATAAAATGTTTCTGGGAGGGGAGGAAGTCAAGGTGATTGTGATAAATGACATGGTCACTAGGTTCTCTGGGGAGAGGCTTTTCTCGGAAATCTTGGAGAGAGACGTCTTCAGGTCTCTTGGAGAGAAAAGGACACAACACTCAATAGCTACCATTTACTGAGTGCACACCACAGCTGGGGCACTTTTGACAACGTGGATTCCTGACGTGTCAAATGTGTGCCAGGCACAGTTGTGGTACTTGAGGTCCAGCAGTGAATGAAGCAGGAAAACCTCTCTGTCCTTAAGAGGCTTATACTGTGGTGGGAGGAGGCGGGCACTAAACACAAAACGTAACAAACAAGTCACTGCGCAGGGCCGTAGAAGGTGCTCGGGTTGGCAAATGTAGATCAGAGGAAAGGGAGCGATGCTGGGACAGTGTGGGTGGATGCTTGTGACTTCAGGTATGGCATTGGGTTGTTCAGGTGGCCCCACTGAGAAGGCAGTTACTGAGTAGCGACCAGGAGGAGGTGAGGAAGGGGACGAGGGAGCCCTCAGGATATCTGGGGGAAGAGCACCCACTCAGATGGGACCTTCTAGGCCTGGGGTGTCTGAGAGAACATCAGGGATGTTGGAGAGGCCCCCGGGGTGAGAGCCAGAGAGTATGTCACAGTGCTGGGGTTGACGGCACTGGAGGGTGGGCGTCTTTAGGCCACTGGAAGGATGTGGCTTTTTTTCTCAGTAAAACGACAGCTGTGCAAGGTTTTGAGCAGAGAGATGATGTTCAAAGAGGCAAGGGTGGGAGCAGGGGGAGCCGCGGAGGCTGTTCCCGTGGCTGAGATGAGAGACACGGTGGCTCAGGTCAGCGTGGAGATGCAGGACCCAGGGCAGACGTGTGGATGCTGGAAGCACGTGGAAAGTAGAAGCCACAGGACTCCCCCAGGAACTGTGTGGTGTGAGTGAAAGGCAGGGCTCAGTGACCACGCCACATGTTTGTCCTGAGCGACTGGAAGGATGGGGCTGCACAGACTGGAATGAGGAAGACTGAGTGGAGAAGGTTCGGGAAGAGAAACCTGGAGATCGGATGTGGGCATGAGAATTAGGAGCTACACATTTGAGAGTCATCATCACAGAGAAGGTGTTTCATGTCACCAGACTGGGTGAGACTGACAAGACGGTGAGGACAGAGAGGACACAGAAGAGGACCAAGGATGGGGCCTGAGACTCGGGAAAGAGAAGCAGCAGCTCAGGAGACAGAGGGAGCAGCCAGCAAGGGTGGAGGCTGGGAGCCGAGGGAAGAGCTGCAGACAGGAGGGATGACGGGGACGTGCAGCACAGCAGGTCCCTGGAGAGCCAGGCTCCGAGTGTGAGGAGAGCGGGTCCCAGAGAGACCAGGAGAGAAGAGGATTGGACACAGTGAGTGTAGACAAATTATGGTTCACAGGCCAAATCCTCCCTGCGGCCTAAAAGTTTTATCAGAACCCAGCCATGCTCATTTGTTTACTGTTTTCGGAGGCTGCTACAGGGCAGCTGCAGCTATGACAGAGACCCTATGGCCTGCAAAGACTTAAATACTTATTATCTGGCCCTTTACAGAAAACGTTTGCTAACCTCTTATCTATAGTAACGGGCAGGAAGGCGGAGACTATGGGTAGAGGTGCTGGTTGGTGGGTACCATGTGCATTATGTGTACGATTGCATTTAATTCTCCCAACAATGCCATAAGGGAGGTGCTGCTGAACAAAGGCAGAAACCAAGACTAAGAAAAGTCAAGTGACCTAAGAAACAACAATCACAGTAATACGTTGAACTTTTAGAAAACTAGAGGTGGATGGGCCGGCCCGGTGGCGCACTGCTACAGTGCGCCGCTTGAGAGTGCGGCGGCGCTCCCGCCAAGGGTTCGGATCCCACATACGGACCGGCCGCTCACTGGCTGAGCGAGGTGCGGGCGCAACACCGAGGGTTGCGATCCTGTTGCCAGTCCCGGTCCAGTACAGGCGTGACACTGAGGGTTGCGATCCATTGCCGGTCACGAAGAAAAGACAAAAAGGAAAAAAAAAAAAAAAAA